TCTTTTATTTATTTACGATAAGTATAGAATAAATATGGTGAAGAAATTAAATATTATGCAATTATTACATATATTGATATGAATGTAATTATAATGAAAATTCTAATATTTATTAATCTAATAGATGATAAAATTGTGATGATATATTGCACTAAATATAAAATTGGATAGACAACTACCTAACCTAAAAAATTCCAAAGTCGACGTATATCTAATCGATGTACCATTATGAGCAACTAATCGCTAAATCTATAAATAAATCAATAAGTATCGATATTCTAATTAAATGAAAACATTAAATTGAATAATACAAAAAAAAATCTCACCAAAACATACACTTTTAGTGATAGCGTTTGTTCATACATTTTATCACTACTTTATTATTTAAATACCACGATTTTACAAAGAAATAATTCAGTTCCGAAATAATAACGTGAACGTTAATTGTGCGAAATTTTACGGAAATTAGAAAAGAAATACAATGACATTGTATATGGCGCGTAAATGACATGTGTCAATATGCAGATAACATAGACAACATTTTGATTATACGAAACTACCACAGATGTCATAAAAATGCTTTTGAAACAAGTTAAATTACTTCTACGGATACAATGGTATATTTTTTACACTTTCGCACCAAACACAGCACTTATAAGTCGTACACATTCCTATCACAATGCCATCGTAATATCGATCTTAATGCAAGCGTTTTAGAAGTCGTTGTCGCTCGAAGCGTCGTAATTCTCCACAATGTCTGTTGGAGGCGGCTGGTAGCGGACGCTTGGGGACACTAGCACCTGCCCGTGGAACGACTGAGATCGCAAAACGCTACTGGAAAATACAATAAATAATAAGTCATTTTAATATTTTTAATGGTAACACTGATATATAAAAGGTAAATTTGTAAACGACTGACTCAAATTACAAGAATCTAGAGCCGTAAAAAGTATTATAAAAAGACAAGGAGAATTTCAAAATTTGTACAGATATAAAACATTTAGATGTCACATAAAAATCCAAATACAGATAAAAATAAAAGAAAGTATAATTTTGAAAAGTTAAAAATATTAATATTAGACTTAAATTAATTTACTATTTACGAATATTGATATGAAAACAATAGGTTATTTACATTTTTTGCAGCAAAGCAAATAGTTCATCACAGATAAACAACATAAAAATGTAATTTTTAGTATGTTGGTAAAATAATTTTATGCGTCAAAGTTATTTCCACAGAGTCCTTGTATAGTGGATGATAGTTTGTGCGTGATTTTTTCTTTTTTTCTTCTTTTTTTTATGTGCCAGTGACATTAAGAAAGCCAATGACAATTTGCGTCTAAAAATGTCAAAAGACGACACAAGTTTGAAAGCTTGCTTTTTGTTAACACAAGAATGATGCAATGATTTATGAATGAATATGAAATTATAGAAATATTAACTGAATCTTGTCAAAATTTTTATGGCGACTTCAAAAACCTATTCATTTTTTATTATTGTCATGTATACAATATTATAATAAGAAATTATATCTACACTAGCTGTCGCCCGCGACTCTGTCCGCGCGGATATGTAAAAAAACTTAATATATAAATAAGTTGAATAAAAAGAATCTCTTCAAGGCATAAATTCGAAAAAAATGAATAAATAGTATCCTATGTCCGTCTCCTGGCTCTAAGCTACCTCCTCACCAATTTTCAGGCATATCGGTAAAGCCGTTCTTGAGTTATAAATAGTGTAACTAACACGACTTTTTATATATATAAGATTATTGAGATTAATCAAAGTTCAAGAACAAAAAATACAAGAAAATCATTTTAACTGTAATCTAAGTTTTAACAACTTAAGTATAAAGTCAAAACATAGTATTGACTTTTGCTACAATTTTTTTTTAAACTGATATATAAACACGGCAAAACACTCACGTATATACGTCCGGTGGCGGCACCGACTAGTGACCCAGTGAGCTGAGGGCCGCGTCCGCGAAATAATACCAGTCCCACTCATCCTGATGAAGGGCCCCCGATGGGCTCGAAACTAGTCGGTGCCGCCACCGGACGAATATACGAGAGTGTTTAGCCGTGTTTATATATCAGTTTAGTATAATGTCTCACGAAAGTTTGAATAATTTAATTTTTTTTAATTCTATTTCCGACTATTTATATAATACACAAATATTTCATTTATACAAAAGATATAGTAAATATGAAAAAAAAAACTACAAAATAAAAAACCATACTAAAAGACGTAAAAAGATGAAAGTGAGAAACAAGTTAACGAACCGCTATTTATAATCTAACAAAGAGATAACCGTTATCAATAACTGTTATTAAAAAATCGCGCAAGCGTACGAGCCGAAGACACCCCGCCGTTAAAATTTAAACAAGCAATTATTTAAAAAACATTTAACCTATTAGCTAAAATTAAGATTAACGCTAGGTTAAGCATTATTTGTTAAGCTTTTTTACAAAAATAAAATATTGTGCCAATTTCTCGACGACGCCAAAACCTTTGCCCAAAAAACTAACCTTCCAAGATGGCGCCTCTCATGTCACTTTAGCCAGAATTGCATGCATTTGACACCTGTCACGCTCTAGAATTTACAATAGGAAAAATAACAATTATTCAATCGAATCCTGAATAAATTGAATACTTATATAAAATACATGAATACAACAACGAAAACAACATAAAATATGTTAAAAATGCACACAAAAAAAACAACCAAAACCATAAACAACATAAATCATAATAAAATAAACATAAATATATCAAATCTACTAAATAAGTCACACTCATATATAATACGAACAAACATATCTGACCCGGTGGTTAAATCAAGCTAAATTAAAATGGCTCACTAGCGCCCCTCAGATAATGTCAAAACTTATCACAAAATCTTTATACTATAGCTGTCTTAACCTATATGATATTTTCTACATCATAGTCCGTTTAAATATTTCGGACAGTACTATAATAGCGTCTCACCGGGTCAGATAAGTCTGTGTGACTATAAGATAGAACGAACCTTGCAGTCTTCGGGGGAGGTTTGCTGTTTTTTCCGAGCGCCGCTGCCTTTCTCGGGTCGTAGGACGCCCTGCGTTTCCACTTCTCTAATTCTTGTTTCTTTTGTTCTGGAAAATTTTATATTAACAATTATAGTACTAGCTATCGCCCGCGACTCTGTCCGCGCAGAATATAAAAAATAGTTAATTAGTGGCCTATGAGTTCTTCTAGCGATCCGTTCAGCCGTTCTGGTGATACCTTCAAACAAAAATTTATCCATCCATCCAAACATATTTGTACGAAGGTTATTCAAGAACCAACCTCCCCCCCCCCTTTAATACAGCATGGCAGTGGGATTAAAAGAGAAAGTACCCCAGGGGGGTACCAAAACCCCTGGTTTTGGAAAATCCCCCTCCGCGCGCTTACGCCTGAACTCTCGCTTGGAGTCTGGGGGTAAGCGCGCGGGCCGCCCTGCGTATTCTGGGGGGGGCAACATTCCGCTCGCTCGCTGTAGAGGCCGGGGCAAACGAGGCCAGGCACTTCCACCCCCTGCCACCCACGCGGTGGACCTCTGCAATATCAGGGGACTCCACTCCAACTTGGAGGCCGTTCATTACCATCTCCGGACGGCCAAGCCGGCCTTGCTTTTTCTTACCGAGACACAGATATCCTCTCCGGCGGACACATCGTACTTATCCTGCCCCGGATACAAACTGGAACACTCCTTTTTGCCCCGGGCTGGGGTATGCGTGTACGTCAGAGAGGATGTCTGTTCTCGTCGCCTCAGCCTTCTTGAAGGTAGGGACCTATCTCTTTTGTGGCTGCGCGTAGATGGCGATGTCCATCCGCAGGTCTACGCGTGCCTCTATAGGTCCCATAGCGGTAATGCCGAAACAGACCGACTCATGGAGCAAGTCCAGACGGCTACAGATTCCGTTCTGGCACAGATCCCCTCCACTGAAATCGTGGTACTTGGCGACTT